ACATCTCTATCAAACAGATACCAAGACTTTGGAGATGGAATTGGAGAGTGTTTTCTGTAAAGGGTTAGATAATAAAAATTTTGGGCTTCCTAAGTCTTGCAGTTTTTGTTTTGATTATTCAGCCTTGCTATTATGTATGAAAGAAACCAGGGAGAGTATGTAACTGAATGAGCATGGCTGTGTTCTGGCTAAACTTTATTTACAAAAGCAGGCCTGACTGCCTGTGGGTTCTGTGTTCCAACTTTAAGAGCGAGGTTTACAGACTGCTCTGGAGTCCACGTAGGTGCCACAGAAGAGTGATCAGCGGAAATGTCCTATACACAAGTGTGGGAGCTGCTCACCTTTAACTTCTGTGGCTGATGCAGGGATATCAGATCTTATAGTTCAAGAATGGCTAGGAATTTTAACTTATTTTTTTTTTTTTTACAAAGTGCTTTTGTCTATTGTCAACTACTTTAGATGTGTTAAAACAGTACAAGTGACGCTACATGCCTTTGTGAATTATTTTCTGTCTTACAAGCCATAGTTCAGATGAATTCTGACAGTTTCCAGTGTGAGTATATATTTTGTATAGAGGAGACGTGCCTGTAGAATGCCATCAGACACAGAGAGCAGCTTCTAGTGCCACTAACCCTCCCAGTACCCTGACAGAACCAGTAATTGATTTATCACCTTCTCTCCTAAGTCTAGAGAACATTTTAGAATTCTTCGCTACCAGAGCTCAAACAGGCCACAAAAAGACAGTCATGTCCCCTGATATTTAAGATATTGATCATCCCTATTCCAAAGGATTCTTTTAAAATAGTTTTTTGAATTAATTGAAGATAGGACTTTGGGCTTCCTATGACATGATGTTATTCTCTAATCTACTAAAATTTACTTTTAACCAGAAAAGTAATTGAGAGAACATGTATTAGAAGAACAAAGTAGAAAAAGGATGCAATTTTGTTTATGTGGCAGTGTTAGATTTTAGATTATAAATTTAGAGAAGTGAAGAATATCTGAAGTTGGATGTGTCCTTTAGTAGCATTTCTTTTTTGCAGAGATTGTGAATGTGGATTTTTCGGTCTTTTTTTTTTTTTTTTTTCTCATTATACTTACTTGGTGAAAGTTCACATTAGTTTCATTCACATTATGAATAGTCTTAAGGAGGAAGTTCTCCCCCCTTATTGTTTTATTGCTTTTGACCATTGTATATGGTTATTGGAGATTAAGATACTCAGAATTTAGTGATTCTATATATAGGTGTATGCTATCCAGAATTCATGTTTTCGATCATGTATGTGCTGTGTACATGATGTAGCTTAAGTAAAATATGCTTTCTTGTCCATTTTGATTGCACACAACTTTGCCATCTTTTTACCTTGTTTCATTACTTTTATTCTCTGCAAATCTAAATCTTACCATCTCCATGAGTGCTTTCCCTTCTGTCATCCTTGTTTTCATTGTTACAATATATTATGTTCTTTGATTTTGTTTGAGATAGTTTCTTTCCCTACTGTTGAGCGTGGTACAGACTATGCCGAGTGTCAACCGAAACACCATTTTGTTTAAGCAAAGTTTGGTAGAGGTGTTGATTGAGTGCCTTCTCTGTGCCAGTCACTAGGGCTTTAGATATGGATGAAACAGAAAAATGGACCGTGACCTGGTAAGATCAGAGTTTAGTAGAACAGTTTGAAGTCTGGTGGAATTTAAATTAAAAATGTCTCCTTCAAGAGTAACCAGTGGACCATTGACAGAGTCCCTGGGAGGAATGCTGCAGTTTGGGCACTGCTCTTGTCTCAGTCAGGTGGAGCCTAAGCGCCTGGAACTGTGCTTAATATATAGGAAGTGCTCAGTAACTATTTCTTAAAAGAACTTTAAAATCTTTTCTGTAGGGCTAGTCTCACAAGACTGAGAGTGTACGCCTTCTACTTCCTTTATGCACTGTTTCTGCATTCATAGCCTCCAAATCCTTGCTCATAGTCATTTTTTATCTTCTGCACATAGGGATTTGGTATACTCTGTCTGTCTGTCTGTCTGTCTGTCTGTCTGTCTGTCTGTCTGTCTGTCTTTTTGTGTTTAGGACAGGGTGTACAGGGTCTCAACTGTGTAAATCGGACTCAGGGTGATCTGCCTGTTTACAGCCTCCCAAGTGCTGGGATTATAGGCGTGTGCCACCACACCCAGTCTCAACCACAGTCTCCGTGTGCCCTTGGGGGCAGGGCTGGCATGGCAGATGCAGGGATCAAATTCCTGGCCCCTTCCTCTGCCTAAGCAGGCGCTTTAATCCGCTGAGCTATTTGGCTGACCCTGGTATACTTTTCTAAAAGTGAAATTCTTTATAAAGGTCAAAGGGTTTATGCATTTGCAATTATGAATTGGCAGTAGTAATGAGAAATTGACCTTCCTCTACAGAGAGTATTGAAGTGCTATTTGCTATACTCTAACACTGTATTTTCTAGATATTTGTAAAAACACACACACCTGATTTCATAGGTGAAATATATCTCTTTATGACTTTAATCTGCATTTCTTTTACATGAATAAGTTGAAACATGTTTATGAGCTTCTTTTCTTTTCCTTTTTTGGGGGGTGGGTAATGTTAGGGATCAGCCCAGGCCTTGCATGTGCTAGGCACGCTCTCTGCCAGTGAGCCACTTCCCAGTCCCTGGTTTTGTTTCCTTTCATGTGTTTTGTCTGTATAACATTTGCCCATTTTCCTCTTGGGCTATTGATCCTAATCTTACTGATCTGTAAGAGCTCTTCACATATTAAGATAAACATTCCTTCCTGTTTGTATTTGCCAGTATATATAGTCCCTCCTTATCTTTGACTTCAGTGTTCGCAGTTTCAATTACCTCTTGTGAACTTCAGTCCAAAATTACTCAATGGCAAATTCCAGGCACAAAGAATTCGTAAATGTTAAATTTCACGCCCCTTGCCTACATAGTGCGAGGAAATCTCCTGGCATTCTACTCCTCCCTGCGGAGATGTGAGTCGTGCCCTTGTCCAGCATATGCTTGCTGTGCACACCGTCTGCTTGCCAGTCACTTGGCAGCCCGCTTGTGATCAGATCCGCGTTGTTATATTGCGGTGCCTGTGGTCAGTAATTCATATTTTACTTAATGGCACCAAAGTGCGAGAGTAGTGGCACTGGTAATTTGGATATGCTCGAGAGATTGTAAAATGCCTCCTTTAAGTGAAAAGGTAAATGATATTTAGAGGTATTATTTTTATGATGTTATCTCTTACTGTGATGAATTTAAAAATTAAATTTCATCCTAGGTACATAGATATAGGAAGAAACAGTATTTATAGGATTCAGTCATATCTCTATTTTCTGGTATCTACTGTGAGTTCTGCAGTTTACTAAGGTAAACTCCAGCTTAATTACTAAGCTGGATGGGGGACTGCCGTAACAACAGAGTTGGTTAGTTGCCAACACGACCAACTCATCTAAAAAGCAGTCTTGTTGATCTTTATTTTGATTAAGTCAAACTTATGAGTAAATTTGGGGTTTCACGATATTTAATTTTCATGTCCAAGAGCATCATTAAGTTTGTACGTCTGTCACAACCTTCTTTTGGGCCCAACTACCATTGTAAGCATTTTTTAATAAATTAGGTATTCATTTATATTTTAGAGGTTATTAATTATTGTGATTTAATTTCGCGTTTAGCATTTTAAAATTTGCCTACTGAAAGGGATATTTTCATCATTGACTTGCTGATAAATGATATCACCTGCACATTGTTGTTTAAACTTTTGTATCTTTTATTTTGTGTAAGTTGGGCCACTCTGTTAGGCATCTCCAGAGGTTGGCTCTTCCTACCAGAATTAAGGATAAATCACTGTGGTGCCACAACCTTTTCTAATTCTTAACTATGGGAATGTTTCTGACATTCCTCTATTAAAAAATGATGCTAGCTTTGGAATCGAGATGGGTCTATATTTTATCATGTTGACAACATGTCCATCTATTCCTTTATTTTTTTAGAATTACACTGATTTTATGTATTTAGTACAGGATCTATAGGAGCTCACTACACAGATTGGACTTGTAGTGATTCTCCTGTTTTCAGCCTCCTAAGCGTTGGCTTAGGTGCATGCCACCATGCCCAGTCTCAGTTGCTGTCTCAGCAAGCCCTGAGACACAGCAGGCCGGGTATAGAACTCCCATACTCTGCATCTGCCTAAGCAGGCGCTTTAATCTGCTGCACTGTCTGACTGGCCCTCATCTATTCCTATTTTGTCTCAACAAAATGATTTTTTTCATGAAAGGATGGTATATTTTATTAGTTATTTTTGTGTCACCAGAGGCTTGACTCCAAGCCTCTTACATTGATGTTCAGATGTAACACTGGTTTGTATATGTGTGTGTTTTTGTTTTTGAGTTTTGATACATATTATTTTCATGAAAGGAATTTAGAAGTTACTGTGCTCTTAAAGAATTTAAAGTATGGGGCCAGGGAGATAGCTCAGCAGAATAAGCACTTGCCTTGCATGTGCAAGGGCCTGAGTTCAATCCCTGGTTCTGCAAAAAAGAAAAAAAAAATTTAAAGTACATTGAAAAATGTCCATTCTTTAATTGTGTAGTAGTGAAGTCTTTGAAACTCTGCTTGTGTTTTTCTGTGATGGAATTCCTTGATAACTTCTTCTGTGCCCTTCTGTGGTTTGTTTAGCTCTTGTACTTCTTCCTAAATTGCTTTTGGTAATTAATATCATCCTTTAAAACTATCCATTTTATTCAGAATGTCTAATTTATTTATTTAAAATGGAATAAAACAATTTTTTATCTTCCTTGCTCTATCAGTGGTTGTTTCCTTATTTTAATTAATGTTTTTGATGAGACTGTACATGGTACATTAAAAACATTTAATCTTTAAAAAAATGACAAGGAAGAAGTAATTAATATCGGTACCTTACTAAAATATCAATTATTTCTAAGAAAACAGTTGTAGTACTCTGAGGTTTAGTTTACTTTTTCTTTTCCTGATCACTTTCATTTCTTTTGACAGACTCTGAAGGAGAAAGTAAGGAGGATTCTCATCTGGAAGGCAGAGATCCGGCTACCTGGCATGTTGGTTTTAAGATCTCCTGGGATATAGAGACGCCTGGTTTGGCAATACCCCTTCACCAAGGAGACTGCTATTTTATGCTTGGTAATCTCAAGAAGATCAGAATTATAATCAGTGCTGTAGTATCTGTATTTGGATTATTGCATGCATATTTTAATACATCTTTTGAAATAACTGTTTTGAGCATTCTGTATTAATAATGGGTCATTTGTATGAGAATAGATAACTTTTTTTTTTTAAAGATACCGCTAAATTCCAAAAAGTTGCTTTTCTTTTCATTTTAAATATTTACTGCATTTGGAGTTCTCAAATATACTACTTTCATGGTTCTCCATCAGAATTACTAAGTCATCCAGCTCAACTTGCCAGTGTATCTTTGAAAAACATTTGCTTGTGTGTATGTGTTTTCTAGTGACAGTACTGTTTTTCCTCACTTGGGTAGTAAGGGTATAATTAATCAGGGCTGGGTCTTGCTAACATGCTTGGGGTGGCCTCAACTTCCTTAGCTTTCTGGAGCTGCTTTTGAAGTTGAGTTTCCTCTCAGAAACATTGACCTGAGGACAGGATTTTTCTGCTTGTCCTTTATTTGTTTGGGAAACACTGTTTCGGTTGTGATTAGCTTAACTGAAGCTATGGAGCACAGGGGCTTTACTTGTGCTCCTCTGCACTGTAAAGTTTTTGTTCTGTTTTGGGACTATTTGTTTCCCATTGCAGTGTCAAGCAGTATCTTTTTTTGCTCACAAAGTTCCTTAGGGCTTATTTTTTTACTTTGGCCCCACTGTCTGATTATCTAAGGTTTATCTCATTCTGATCTGTCTGGGGAAATCTACTGATATGTTGGTTTTGGAGCCAGGAAGAACCAGAACTCAGCCCAGTGTTTATGATAAGAAGTAATTCTTACTTAATTTGGTATGTGTATAGTCCTGTGTATTCCAGGTACCAGGTAACTAGGTCCTGGGGGAAATAGTGAAGGTATGTAAATCTTTGTCCTTTCCTTGAAATAACTTAGCGTATGTAAAGCTCTTTGACATTTTCCAGTTTTTAGTTCTTTGCACATCAGTTTCTAGGTTCTTGCCTTATCCACCTGCTACCTGTACTATTTTTTCTACACTGTTTCCCTCTAAATAAACTTGGTATTGTTTTCTTTCACTGATATAAATAAATACATTTATTTACTTAAACATTTATTGTGATGGGTATCAAACCCAGGGTTGTATACTTGCTAGATAAATGCTACATACCACTTGGTTACAAGCACAGCTCATTTTATTTACTGTTAAATTTTGGGACAGGATCTAATCTAAGTTGCCTAGCCTGGGCTTAAACTTAAGATCTTCCTATCTAAGCCTCCTAATCAGCTGGTTGTTTTAGATGTGTGCCACTCATCTTTGGGATACATTTTAAAATAAGATTTATTTTAAATGAAGATTTCATGCCACTGTTTTAAATTGGAAAACCTGTATCACTTGGACATAGTCACATAGTCCAAAGGATTTTGGAAATATAAACATAGGGAAACTGAAACAGTATTAAGTTCTTATTACTTTTCTTTGTTGTTGATCTCTGTCTTTATTTTAAAAAAGAAAGATCAGTAACTTTTAGAGAAGTGTTAACTATGCAGTGATACCAGTCTGAGATTTCTTAATGTCTGCAGGAGGGCTGAAAGGTGGTTATATAGAGACTTTTTCATACAGTGATTTAGTGGTGCTTAATGCTGTGTCCCTTTACCTCTTAAATTCTCATGGAACGATTCCTACTTTCATTGAATACTGACCTTTTTTTTTTTTTTTAATTTTTAAAGAGCGTACAAACTAGAGTGAAAACAGAAAAATTACAAGTGATACAGAATTTCACTCAACAAAGCAATAAGAATTTCACAGTATCCATTGCAATACATAGTGTTATCTTCCAACCGGTTAGTCATACTACCAGATATATATGTGTAAAATTGAAGAAAGAAAAAAAGAAATGTGTAAGAAATGAAGAAGAGAAAAAGTACAATCAGTTGGAAAAAGGAGATGAAACAAATTATCTGCTCCTTTCTGTAGACCTGTAGAAATGGACAGTACAGGTGTCCAAACCATCCTACTCCATATGCAGATAAATCTCCTTCCCCAACTGCCTCTACTATCCTTCTCAACCCAGCAACTCCCTCCTTCTGAATAAGTCCATTCCCTTTCCCCAGTATCCGTTGTACCCTTCAGATTCCATTTTTCTCCTTCAGGTTCTCACACTGAGGAGACAACACGATATTTGCACATGCAGGTCTGAGTCACTTCACTTAAGAGTATTGAATACTGATCTTAATCTGCTCCTTTCATTTGCTTGTTGCCTTACAGTGTACAGATGATTCACATAAGCAATCAGTCTCCCAACAATCTTAAGAGGGAGATGGCAGAGGTTATTCTTTGCTTAAGTAATTTTCCCAAGGTTACTCCATTAGCATGAAGCAGAGCAGGCACCAGAATATACATACAGTGCAATGATTTTTTTCACTCTGAATGGCACCATTTCAACTGGATCTCATTACACTGACATTTCTTTCTGGAATGTTCTTAATGTTGAGATCATTCTCTTCCATAAACTCTTTTTTAAAATTTTTTTTTCATAATCTCTTCTGTTTGATCTCAGGAACTGAGTTTCTATTCTGAAGTTTCTTTTCCATTGTTAAGTATCACTTGTAGGCAGAAATGTTGTTGGTACATTTTTATGTACCGCACAAATTAGGATATTTTGTTTGAGTGCCTATGGTTGTCAGTTTCAGCCAATAAGTGGCTTCCCTTTGGATACATTTTACAGTTTGTAATTTTTATTTTTACTAGTACAAATTTGCAGTACCTAATGATTGCATTCATCATGGGGAGCTGGTACATATACATATACATCTTGATTCTTTTTAAACTCCCCCTTTCACAATCACTTGATCCCTTTCCCATTCAGGAGTCTTCATTAGTAATTTGTAGCTCTAAAAGAGATGAGAACCTGGGTATGTTGACACATGCTTGCAGTTCCAGCACCTTGGTAGGCTGAGGCAGGAAGAGTTCAAGATCCAGCCCAGCCAAGACATTTTAGTAACTTAGTAAGACCTTGCCTCAAAATTAAAAAATATATATATATATATATTAAAAAACTGCTGGGGTTGTAATTTAGTGTGAAGGATGAACCGGTGTGACAGATCAATCCCCACGCCTGGAAGTGAAAAGAAAAATAGATGAAAGCCAGAATGATGCCTTTAAAATAGCTTTATTATTTTTTCTGTGTATAAAAGTAGTAGATACACATTGTAAAAGTTTATCTACTGTGCATTTAACAACTTAAGTGTTTTCCTTTGATTACCAAAGCAGTAAGTGCTCATTATAGAGAAAGGAAACTCTGAAAAGCATAATGTGGAAGAAAAATATGTAAATTAGAATTTATGTATGATTGGTGTATTTCTTTTCAATCTTGTTTGGCTACGTGTACCATTGTAGCAATATGAATAAGAACCACATTAACTGAGGACTTAGAAGTCAAGCACTCTTTTCATGTGTGTATATGGTTCTGGGGATTGAACCCAGAACCTTTCTACAGAGCTACATGCCCAGTCTTCTTTTGAAATAGGCCTCACTAAGGGACCAAGTTGCCCAGGCTAGTCTTAAACTTGAGGTCCTCTTACCTCAGCTTGGGATTCCTCATTCTGGGATTATAGGTGTGCTGTGAAATGTTAAGTGTTCTTTTAATGTGCCTAACAACAAATACTAAACAAATAAATACTCTTTGCGAAAGGAGAACTTGAGTTTAGATGATGTACTTGGCCGTGGTCACACAGTTGTACGAAGCATGAATTGGAGCTTGTCATTTTACTCTAGTCTAGTTCTGGTGCCCCATCAGCCTTTGCACCGAGCTGGATGCCCAGATGCCCTCCTGACCCTACTGAGGTACTGACTTTTGCTCTGGGCTTGTGTGCCCCCATCCCTCCCTCTCAGCATGACACCTCTGGCTCACCTAAGGGCTTCTGAGGAAGGGGAGAAAAGATGCTGATTTTTCTCTTCGTCGCTTCTTTCTGTTTCTCTTTAAGATTATGCCTTCCCCAGAGTATAAGAACTGGGGTTAATAATGAAAATGTTAAATAATTTCATTAGTCTTTGGAAACATATAAAGAATATGCATTAAAATATCCATTGGGTCCCTTATTCATGCAAGTGATAGTTAGTAGAAGTTCATGTTACTACTTTTTAGGAGCTTATGCACAAGATGTGAAATTGCTTGCTTTTTTAACTCTTCAAATCAAGTTTAAATAATTGCTATCCCACCTAACTGTGTAAGGTGTAGAATACTGAGTCTGAAGTGTGCATTCAGAGTCTGTTTCCTTACAAAGATGTCATATATAATTTCTAAAATGAGCCTTCCTTTATCTCCCATTAAAGAAAACAAAAATAAAAGCAAACTTTATATAACGCTGCTTTTTCTCTTTACTTTTAAAAAATCCAAATAACAAGGAGCTCCTTGGAAGGATCCCAGCCCTATGCTGATATCTGAAATCTGAACTTCATAGCACTTATGAAAAGGAAACAGTTTAGCTCAATTTATAATAATATATTGGTCTGCAGAGGAAGTTCAGACTGAACCCTGCTGTCTCAAGTAAATACTCCAGGGGTGTCTGATGGGGAACGTGTCGGGTACCTGTAATAAATCCACTGCCCATGGAAGTGAGTGACGGCCCTGCTGGCAGTGCCTGAGGATACGCTTAACTGGGGTTGTCACGGTTTTACTTTTAAATTGAAATCTTTGCCCTAATCTCAGAGTTAGGCATGACCAGATTTGCAAACAGATTTACAATTTTCACTAATTTTCCAACCAGGACTTCAAAACACACTTAAAGGAAAAAAAAATGCACTGTGGTCTTTCTCAGGGTAGGATGATTTACTTTGCCACAGCTGTTTTCCATAGACTGCATGTAACCAGGGAGTTAGGGACTTAAGAGTAGCTTGGAGACAAACTGGGTTTGTTTTTATGGAGCAGATTATACAGTTCAAGAGACATCAACCAAATTATGTTTATTAACCAGAAGCTGAGTGTGGAGTGGGATGCATCAGGACAAAGAT